CGATTTTGAGCTGCCGTTGTCTCAACTCGCCCTGGTCCGAAAATCCCCCGAGGTCCACTCTTCCCGCTCCTCTGGCCTCCCACCCAGCTGGTCCGTGAAAAACTAAAGCGGAGGAGGAGCGGGACGGGGGAGGAAGGAGGAGCGAGCAGGGAGGAGGACTGACCGGAGGAAATAGAGGAGGAGGAGGAGGAGGTGGAGATGGAAGAGGGAGGAAAGAGGATAGAGCAGGGAGGAGGCGGAGGCGGAAGAGGACGACGAGGAGGAGGAGGAGGAGGAGGAGGAGGAGGAGGAGGAAGACGAGGCAAAGATGGCCAAAGACGTCCCAGACCCCTTCGGTGCTCGACCCTCCCCTCCTCCTGCTCCTCGACCCTCGATTTCCTGGAGGCGGTAGTGACCCAGCTGGTGGAGACTGTTCCTTATTGAAGGGGCCCTGGGACACACAAATGAATGCACACAAATAACAGGATTCCCCATATTTTCCCATATCTTCTGGGATTTTGTCTTCCCCCCCCCCACTTCCCATAGTTTCCCATATTTTCCCAGGGATCGACGATGAATTGTGTCTGTGTGTTTTTCCCCTCCTGATGTATGTACTTCTCGGGGGCGGCCAAGAGGGGGGTGTCTAAGAGGGGGGGAGATGCAAATCATGACCCGCGGCATGTGCGCGGCCCAGCGGGGGGGGGGGCTGGGGACGTAATGAAACAAGAAGAGGCGCCATGAAATCTGGGAAAATATCATGGCCCTCGCCATGATATCCACCCCCCCCTAGTCATCTAGTCATCACCCCCCTCTTTTCCGCCCCCGAACTTCCGGTAACGGTCGTTACCAGGGGGGGGGGGCCGGGCAACGGTGACGCGCGGGCGGAGTGGGGCGCGTCCGGGCGTGAGTGCGCTGCGATCGCCACCAGATGCGCGCGAGCACCAGCAGGCGGGGGGGGGGGGTAGGGGTGACTACCTACCAGACCACCCTGACCCAACCCGAAGACTCCAATTTCGGGTGGGGGGGGGTACGGGTTCCACATGTGTTTTTTTCATGTTCCCCGACCCCCCCCCCAACTGGAACTGGAGGGCAAATTGAAGCCTTCGGGTTGGGTTGGTTTTTTTTTGGGGGGGTGGGTGGTTTGGGGTGGCAGAGGTGGGGGCAGACGCCCAGCACGGGGACGCGGGCCCCGAGAGGAGCGGATCCTGGGCCCTGGGGCCTCCCCCCCCAAGGGACCGGCGCCGCATCCCGAGCCGTTTCCTCCGGACAGTCCCGGGGCCCGTGTGTGGGCCCCGAGGGAGCCCGAGAGCAGCGAAACGCCCCAGAACCCCTCGTCCTCCCAAGAGACCAGCTTCTCGTCCTGAGCCGTTTCCCGACAGTCCTGGGGCCCGTGGAGAGCCCCCCGAGAGCCCGAGAGCAGCGAAGCGCCTCAGGACCCCGTGTCCTCACCTCGGCCCGAGGCCTGTTGCTCATCCTGGGTGTCGTTTCCTGGCGGTCCCCGGGGCCCGTGGAGGGCCCCGCGAGGGCCCGAACGCGGCCAGACACCTCAGGACCCGTTTCCCTCGGGACCCGTCGCATGGCAACGTTACCTGAGCAGGGACCGACCGTCCCGGTATTCCTGTAGTCCTACCACGAGATGTTCTTAGAACCCCAAAATGTTCTAATAACAAAAACAAAGTTATTAGAACATGAACCCGATGTGATAAAACAAGACAGGCTCCGCCAGAAATGTTCTGAGAACATTTCGTGGAAACCACAAAAGATTATTATAACATTGTTTGGTGGGGCTATAGGCGAGCCGCGACGCTTCGCCACTGCTTGAAAGTCATCGTGGCCCAGGGGAGGGGGGGGGGCGGGCCCAGGTGACGACCGCTGCGCGAAAAAGGAATACGGTCGGACCTAAAAGAGAAGAGCATCCCTCGAGATCACGAGGCCGTCCGCCGGCCATGACACCCCAGACCGTAAGATCACTCCAGGGTGCCCTCCCCGCGGATGCATACGAGCATCCAACAAGCACGAAGAACGTGAGGGTACCCTCCCCGAGCCAACCTCGATCTTATACCACGGTCCGACCGTATCAAAAAACAGTCTCGTGCTGGGGGGGCGGAAAGATACGGATACGTGTTGTCCCCGGACCTCTCTTGGGGTGCGTTCTGACCAGAATTTCGAGGCGAATCCAGCGGTGACAACGAGGATTCCCCAGGAGGGCCAGGAAAGGACGAAAACGAAGGGGGACAGTATCTTTTTCTCCCCCGAATACCACGGTCCGACCGTAACAAAAAAAACAGTCTCGTGGTGACCCCCTCGGCACTGCCCGAGCTCCGCCGCGCTCCGCGCGAGGGGACGCCGTCGGCAGAGCTGCGGCGATGGGGCCGGGAACGCCCACCGTGCCGGCGCCCGCAAGGCGTGGGCGCCGCGCGTCGTCGTCGTCGTCGTCGTCGTCGTCGTCGTCGTCGTCGTCGTCGTCGTCGTCGTCGTCGTCGTCGTCGTCGTCGTCGTCGTCGTCGTCGTCGTCGTCGTCGTCGTCGTCGTCGTCGTCGTGCGGCGCGCGGTCAGGAGAAGTCAAAGCCCAGCGGGGGGGCGTCCAGCGTGGTCGCCGAGGCCTCGTGGGGACGTCGACGACGACGACCAAGCGGAGCAAGAGGAGAGGAACAGGAGGAGGAGAAAGAGGAGGAGGAGGAGGACGAGGAGGAGGAGGAGGAGGACGAGGAGGAGGAAAAGGAGGGGACGACGAGGAGGAGGAGGAGGACGAGGATACCCGATGCCTCTCCGCCAGTGCTGGCTGTCGCGGGGTTGCCAAACATCGCCATCTCTTCGAGCCTCCTGGCGTTCTCCTCGCTCTCGTTCGCCACCTCCGCCATCTCTAACATGGCCTCCTTTCGAGGAGCAAAACATGAAGATATGCAACCATAGGAGCTAATATTCACAGATGTATGCACATACTAGTGTGTATGATCACAATGAGGGGGCCGAATGGTCAGTCATTGTCCCTGGGTTCACGGCTGATGTGGGACTCCGCGGCACGGAATATGCTTGTTGTTGTTGCTGTTGTTGGCGCTGTTGAACTTGTATTTCCAAGAAATAATCACACAACAAATCATTGATGGTCCATCCCCCTTACGGTTACCATTGTGCTTTTTCCATTGAAGTACCCCCCTCGGGGCTCGCACCCTGTTTCCAATGAGGGAAAGCTTGGTGTCACCAAACTGCGCTGTTGGGCCCCGAACTACAACAACAACGGCTCCGGCCTGATACCTCCTCACAATGGATTCCCAAATCGCGCTCTCGCGCGGGACTTCCTCGCAAGTTACGCAGGAATCGCGCTCACGCGTGGGACGCCCCCGCAATTTCTCAAACGCCGCGCCACCGACGCTTCAGAATATTACGCTTTCGATTTCTCATTTCGCCCGCTTTACTCGGCAATCGCGCTATCGCTCGAGCTCGCCTCGCGATTCATGCAATACTCAAGGGGCCCCAGGACACACAAATAAATACACACAAATAACATATTCCCCATATTTTCCCATATTTTCTGGGTTTTGTCTTCCCGCCCAATTCCCATATTTTCCCATATTTTCTGGGGGGTCGACGATTAATTGTGTCTGTGTGTTTCTTCCCCTCCTGAAATACTCTCACGATCTAACAGCACGCCGTCTCGACTTGGCCGCCTGGGCCCGCCCGTCCGACCCGCCAATGCGGGTCTGCCCGCCCGACGGGCCCGTCTGGCTCTGCCACGTGCTTTTCTGTTCCTGGCACCCCATCCTGCGATTCCCGTGCGCCATCCTTCCTCCTCCTCCTCCTCCTCCTCCTCCTCCTCCTCCTCCTCCTCCTCCTCCTCCTGGCCCGCCCCGGCGAGGCCCCGCCGGGGCCCGACCGGCCCCCGTGGGGGCCGCCTGGCATCGGCCGCCTCCTTCTTCCCCTGGAATCCGCCCTCTCTTCCGATGTGTTTCAGGGGCTGCACCAGAGGCACGCGGCAGGTAAGAAAGGTACGCTCCCAGGAGGGCACGATCGAAGACGAAGAGGGCGGGTACCGAGGGTTTGGGACACACGTGCTGAGAGGCACGCGAGCCAGCAAGAGCGAACAGTGTTTAAATGACTGTTGTTATTGTTGTTGTTGGTGTTGTTATTGTTGTTGTTGTTAAATTCTCACTACTGAAGGATACAAACTGTTGATCCCCTCTCCGGGGCACCTTGTGTTTTGTCAATTGAAGTGCCCTTCCCGGCGGGCTCGCACCCAGTTTTCTAATAGGGCAATTCTTGGGTCTCAGAACTGCTGTGTCTTTGGCCCACAATTTACAACAACAGCGGCTGCCGCCTGATACTTCCTCACAATGTATTAAAAGAATCGTGCTTTCGCTGGGGACTTCCTCACAATTTGTGTACGAATCGCGCGTTCGCGTGAGCCATCCTCTCAATGTTTTCAAACGCCGCGCCCTCGACACTCAGGAATCACGCTGTCGCTGTGCATGTATTAAGGTTTACTCGGGAATCGCGCTATCGCGCTATCGCACATGCAGAACATAGCTGTTCGTGTTTTGTTGTTGTTGTAATTACTTTGTTGGTGTTGCTGTCGCTGCTGTTGTTGGGCCCCCACTGCTGAAAACATGATTGATGACCCACCTTATCCAGATCACATTGTGTCTTTAATTGAAATGCCCTTCCCGGGGCTCGCACCCTGCTTTTATAAAAGACTGCGTGGGGACACCAAACTGTGCCCCTAGCCCACGGTTTACAGCGACAAAAGCTCCCGCCTGATTCTTCATCACAATGTATTCAAAAATGGCGCTCTCGCGCGGGACTTCCTCACAGTGTATGCAAGAATCGCGCTCTCGCGCGGGACTTCCCCACAATTTACTCAGACGCCGCGCCTTCGACACTCAAGGACCACGCTCTCGCTATGGATTTCTCACGATTTACTTGGACATCGCGCTATCGCTGAAAACTTGCTCCCGGCTCGTGCAGAACGCACGCTTCAGCATCCCGCTTGGTCGACCTGGCCGCCTGGGCCCGCCTTCCCGACCCGCCCGTTAGGGTCTACCCGCCCGATCTGCCCGTCTGGCTCTGCAACGTGGTTTCTGCTCCTAGCCCTCTCTCCTGCTGTTCTCTCTCGTGCTCCATCTTCCTTCCTCACCCGTGTCCTTCCTTTCTTTCCGTCCTCTCTCCCTCTGCCTTGGGGGCTGCACGGAATACACGTTGCAGGTAAAAGAAATGTACCCCGAAGGTGGTACGATCGAGGACGAAGAGGGTGGGTACCGAGGGTTGGGGATATTCGTATTTAATGGCACGCGAGCAGATAAGAGCGAACAGTCTTAAACTGATGCGTGTTGTTGTTATTAGTGTTGCCGTTGTGGTCCCTGCTGTTGTTAAACTCCCACTACAGAGAATATCATTGTTGATCCCCCATCTGGAGCACCTTCTCTACTTCAACTGAAATGCCCTTCCTGGGGCTCGCACCATGGTTTTTACAAAACATACTGTGAAATTACCAAACTGTGCCTTTTGACCCTGGCCTACAACAAAAAAGCTTCCGCCAGATACTTCATCATAATGTATTCCCAAACTGCGCTCTCGCGCGGCATCTCCTCACAATGTATGCAGGCATCACGCTCTCGCGCGGGACTTCCTCACAGTTTACTCAGACGCAGCGCCCTCGACACTCAGGAACCACGCTCCCGCTGGGGATTTCTTACGATTTGCTTGGGCATCGCGCTATCGCTCGAGCTCGCCTCGCGATTCATGCAGGACGCACGCTTCAGCGTCCCGCCTGCTCGGCCTGGCCGCCTGGGCCCGACTTCCCGACCCGCCTGCTAGGGTCTGTCCGCCCGATGGGCCCATCTGGTTCTGCCATGTGTCGTTTGCTCCTAGCACCCTTCCTGATAATTCCGTCTTCCATTCGTCTCCCTCCCCCCTCCATGCGTCCGGTCGTCTCCTGCTTCACGCGGCAGGCGAGGAAGATATACCCCCAAGGGGGTACGATCGAAGACGAAGAGGGCGGGTACCGAGGGATTGGGATAGACGTACTGGATGGCACGCGAGCAGATAAGAGCGAACAGTCTTAACATGATTCGTGTAGTTGTTATTCGTGTTGGCGTTGTGACCCCTGCTATTGTTAAACTCCCACCACTGGAAATATTATTGTTGATCCCCCCATCTGGAGCACCTTGTCTTTTTCAACTGAAATGCCCTTCCCAGAGCTCGCACCATGATTTTTACTAAACATAATGTGGGATTACCAAACTGTGCCCTTTGCCCCTGGTCTACAACAAAAAAGCTTCCGCCAGACACGTCATCACAATGTATTCCCAAATGGCGCTCTCGCGCGGGAGTTCCATACCATGTATGCAAGAATCGCGCTCTCGCGCAGGACTTACAACTTACTCCGGCGCCGCGCCCTCGACAAACAGGAGTCACGCTCTCGCTATGGACCTATCATGATGTACTTGGGCATCGCGCTATCGCTCGAGACTGCCTCGCGATTCATGCAGGACGCACGCTTCAGCAACCTGCCTGTTCGGCCTGGCCGCCTGGGCCCGCCTCCCCGACCCGCCCGTCAGGGTCTACCCGCCCGATCTGCCCGTCTGGTTCTGCCACGTGGTTTCTGCTCCTAGCCCCCCCTCCTGCTCTTCTGTCTCGTGTTCCATCCTCCTCCCTCCCCCTTGTCCCTTCTTTCCATCCGTTCTCTCTCCCCCTGCCTCGGGGGCTGCACGGAATACACGTTGCAGGTAAGAGAAATGTACCCCTAAGGTGGCACGGTCGAAGACGAAAAGGGCGGGCATCGAGGGTTCAGGATAGACGTGTTGAAGAATGGCACGCGATCAGATACGAGCGAACAATCATTTAATGATTGTTTTTGTCGTTTTTTTGACTTGGTGTCGTTGTTTTTGATTGTTGGTGTTGGTGTTGGGGTTGGTGTTTGGTGCTGCTGTTGCTGTTGTTGGTGCTGTTGCGACCCACCCCGCGACCCACCCGCGTCCCACCCGCGACCCCCCACCTCGCCCGCCCCCTCATTCTTATCCGCAACTGCGGGGTACTGTAAAAACTGCCGAGCGTCCGAGCAGATTCCCACCAAACCTGCGGGCGTGAGTGGTCCAGGGAACTCGTTCTGCCAAGCTCCTTCTTCCCCTTCCAGGAAGGGGTTCATCCGGTGTTCCCCCCCTCCCCCCGCGAAGTGTTAGAGGGTCCTGTTTGGCCCCCCGTGGCCCTAAGAGGGCCACAGAGAGCCCGAGATGGCCTCCAGGATCGCTCAACACATCCCAGCATGATCCAAGATAGACTCCCACATGTCTCCAAGGGCCCTCAGGATCACCCCAGGACGGCCCCTAGTGCCCTCCGAGTCTTCAAAGGAGGCCTCCAGGAGGCCAAAACCTTCAAGAACCACGATGTTGATTTCTCGTCCGATGGGCTCCCGAGGCCTCAAGATGACTCCAAGACAGCCAACGATGGCCCCAAGAGGGGCCCGAAAAAAACCTCAAGACGCCCTCAAGATCGCAAAGACCGCCCCAAGCACGGCCCAAAAGAGCCCCAGAGGCGATGTTCCGGGCCCCGACGGAGGAGCAAAAATTGGCTACTCCCCCTCTGTTGATCGATGGCTTCCAAGATGGCCCCAAGAAGCCCTCCAAAGCCTCCACGAGGGCTCCAAGAGAGCACCCAGAGCGTCCCAAGAGGGCCCCAAGAGAGCACAAAGAGGGCCCAAGAGACTTCTAAGATGGCCACAAGAGAGCCCCAAGATGGCCCAAAGAGGCCTCCAAGACGCTCCCAGAGCGAAAGATGGCAAAGGTCTTCACATTGACTCCTGTCGTCGACGTCGTCGTCGTCGTCCCATGCTTCCCGCGGCTGCCTTGGCTGAATGGTTGCATGTCGCCCCTCAGATGACCAACGCTCGCGTCGTCGGTGTTCGCGCGCCCACAGCAACGGACGCACCGCGAGTAACGACAGGCAACCACTCTGCCAAAGCATCCTTGGGCACGCGCGAGGTAGTACAGGCACCGCAGGCAGCGACAGGCAAACACTCAACCAGAACGCTACACGTCCCTGATCAGGGCAACTCGATTGATGTCTGTTTTTGGATGGGCTGGTGGCTTCACTTTTTGGTCAACTGGCTCGCGAGGCGGGTCGAAAGCCGTCCGAACACTAGTCGGGCCGCGACTAGGCAGCAGGAAAAGAAAGGCAAGCGAAGCGAGCGAGCGGGCAGCCACTCAGAAGGAGAGCCAGAACCGATACTCCCAAACCCAGCTGGTGGCTTCACGCGACGCGTGAACAATTCCTTGGATCGGCTCTGAATCCCCCCCTCCCTGGCATCCGGAGCGCGCCAGGGGCTGCGCCAGAGGCGACGCCAGGAAGTCCAGCGCAGATCCAAGAACTCCGCGCGGCCCCTCGAAAGTCTACGGTCGGGAACTTTTGCTTAGCGTGTCGCGGCGGCGGCCCTGGCGACACGCTGCCTTGTGAGCGGATGGCGTGTCGCGCCGAAGCGCGGTGGGCCATGACCGGAGGAGCGACACGCAAACCAAAAGCTCCCGGCCATATCCCCTGATGGTTTTCGGGCCCTGACTCCGCTCTCTGGCAGCCGTTCTGGACGACCTGGGCCCCCCCGGAACGTTCTCGACGGGGCGCAGCCGACGGAGAGCGCCCCGAGGCTGGAAGGGCACCGAGAGCCAACGAGAACGCCCGAAAACCTCAAGCCTCGAGCCTGTCCCGGCCGTACGTCTACGTAGTTGTTCCTCCTTCGATCCTTCGTGAAGGGACTGCGGCGCACGTCCTCCATCTGCCCGCGCTCCCGCCACGCCGCCGTCAGCGACGACGCCAGCATGAAGGCGCCCTCGTCGATGGAGCACTCCCGGGCCGCGCCGCGCAGCGTGACCCACAGCTCCTGCAGGGGCCGAGGAGAGGACGCAGTCCCTCCTCCTCCTCCTCCTCCTCCTCCTCATCATCATCATCATCATCATCCCCTCATCCCCCCTCCTCCTCCTCCATTTCCTCCTCCACCTCCTCCTCCTCCTCCACCTCCTCCTCCTCCTCCTCATCCTCCTCCACCTCCTCATCCTCCTGCTCAGCACCCATCCGCTTCGATAGTCTCCCGCGGGCCAGGTCGCCTGGTCTGTCAGCACGCGCGCGTGCCATTCGCATGACGAACCAGGCGAGAAGGGAGCGCGACGGAAAATCCGCCGACGTGTCTTATTGATGGGCTGGGCTGGATGCGGCAAATGAAAAAAAGCTCCTCCTCTTCTTCGGGTTACAGCAAGTATTGCACGGTGGCCGCAAGTGCCCATCGTGGTTGCCACTTCTCAGGGCAACCGCTGGCCAGACCGAGGGCAAGCGCTGGGTGGCTTCAAATAGCATGGCCTGAGAGGAGGGGAGCTGAGGGACGAATGGACGAAGAGGGAGGGAGGAAGGGCGCACCGACCCCCAGCAAGGCGCACAACTCTGGGTCTGCCAGCCGCGGCCCCTGACGCAGGCCGCCGTTGGGAAAAACATGAAAACGAGGGGGGGGGGGCGCTCCCAGCCGAGTGCCGAATGAGGGACCTCATGCTTGTTCCGGCCTCCCTCCCGCCCAATCCTTGGGGACAACAGTCAACCTGCCTACGCAGGGCGGGCCTGCCCTGGTCTGCACACGGCCCCGCGCTCTGCACACCCCGCAAGGGGCTCCCTTGTGGAGAAGTTTCGTGGACATCTGAGTTCCAGGCTCCCTCTCTGCCTTTCTTGCGCTGGCTGCGGGGACGCACTGTCGCGCCTGAAGCGGCAGGCGCCCGAGGCGGGCCGCGGGTAAACAAGGCGTGCACAATGCAACGAGAGCCGATGGGAGGAAGAAGAGAGCACAAGATACAACAACATGAACATGGACAGCATGAGTAGGGGAACAAAAAATGACATACACATAAAACTCAGAGGTCCGCGCGGATTTCTCGGATCGGCGGTGGGGCCCCCTCCCTGGCGCGCGGAGCGCGCCAGGGGCGGCGCCAGGGGCGGCGCCGGAGGCGCCGCTGGGGGGCCCCAGCGCCGATCCGAGAAAGATGGTGGGCTGGGAGTGGGGCGAGGCGCCCCTCTCCCAGGGGGCCACATGCGAACCCTACCCCTACCCCCCACGACTTCTGAGGGGGAGGGTGGGGCTCACTTCGCTCGAGAGCTCCCGAGCGATCCCGAGCGAAGTGAGCCCCACCCTCCAGTTCAAAGTCGTGGGGGGTAGGGGTAGGGTTCGCATGTGACCCCCTATATGATCTCGCGCCCACCAGAGGCTGCCGAGGACGGCCTTGGCGGACCTCCGAGTTTTTATGTTTATGTCACTTCTTGTTCCCCTCATGATGGTGGACTGGGAGTGGGGCAAGGCGTCCCTCTCCTTCCTCCCTCCTTCTTCCTCCTTCCTCCTCCCTCGAGTGGGGCGAGGCGTCCCTCTCCTCCTCTCCTCACCCACCGCGCCGAGCGCCCGCCGCAGACACCTGGCGGACCCAGTGGCACGCCGCGGGCGGCCCCTGAGCTTGTTGCCCCACGGGGGAGCGAGGCTCGCCTCGCGGCTCGAAGCCCTGTGGCCGTCCTCGGCAGCCCCTGGTGGGCGCGACATCATAAAGGGGGGGGGGGGCGATCAGATCGGCGGTGGACAAACCTCCCTTTAGTAAACCCCCCCCTAGTGCAAACGGCCTGGGACCGAAACCGACGGACCTGGGCCCGCAAAAAGGACGGCCGCGGCGCCCTCTCGCGAACCGAAAACGGCCAATTCCTAAATCGACGTGTCAGGGTAGGAGGTCTGTCCACCCCCGATCAGAGGAGAGGCCGCGAGGGCTGCCGGAACGAGCCCTTTCTCGGACCCCTTCAGGGCCCCAGAGGAGGCCTCAAAGGGCCCGAGAAAGAGCACCGGACCTCCTGGGGGGGGGACAAGGCTCCGGGGGCGACACCGTGGGAGGGGGGTGCACGGCGGGCCGCGAGGGTTGCCCCTCACGGGCCCCTCAAGGGGCCCCAGGAGGGAGCCTCCAGGGCCCGAACAGGTCCCCTTTCCCCCCCCCCCCCCCGTGCATCGCCTCCCCAGGAATTCGCGCCCAACTCTGGCCCTCGCGGAGGCATCCGGGGACCACCTGGAGCCCTCCCGCAGCTCTCCAGAGGCCTGCGGGGGCACCCTGGGGAGCTCCGGAGAGCATGGCGGGCGGGAGGCCGCAGGCGAGTGCCGCGGCGGCGTGGGCGTTGGTGTGCGGCACCGCGAGGATCGTTCAACCCTGACTCGTCCGCATTAAGCGGGTCCTGGGCCCATCGCGAGGTTAAAAGAACCACGAACCCTGATGACACGATGATGGCGTGGCCTCCCGTAGGTCCCCTTCTCCGCATCATCAGGGGTGAAACATTGGGCGGTGTGGTTTGATACATCTGCAGAACAATCCCAGTTCCTAATGTTTTGGCCCTCCTAACTTAGGTCTTCCTCCTCCTCCTTCTCCTTCTTCTTCTTCTTCTTCTTATCATTATTATTAGTATTCGCATCAGTATTATCATTAGTGTTATTACTATGTGTGTGATTGATTTTCATATCATTATTTTTATTACTACTATTATTACTAATATTATTATTATTATATTATTATTATTATTATTATTACTATTATTATTATTATCATCATTCTCCTCCTCCTCCTCTTCCTCCTCCTCCTCCTCCTCCTCCTCCTCCTCCTCCCCCTCCTCCCCCTCCTCTCTCCTCCTTCTTCTCCTCCTCTCCCACGCGGTGGCGGGAAGACCACCGCACCGCCTCCCAAGCTGCGCTCCTCCACATCGTTCGGGGGGAAAAAAAAAGATCACACAAACATGATATTGTGGAACTCCGCACGGATTTCTTGGATCGGCGTCGCGGCCTCCCGCCCCTGACAGGCTCCGCGCGCCAGGGAGGGGTGTCCAGCGCCGATGCGAGAAATCCGCGCGGAGCTCAAAAGGTGTAGGTTCATGCACCTGCTCATTATTCGATCTCATCTGCGCTCGTCCACACCATCACGGAAGGGGCCCTGGGACGCACAAAGAAATACACATACAAATAACAGGATTCCCCAGATGTTCCCAGATGTTCTGGGCTTTGTCTTCCCCCCCCTTCCCATGTTTGCCCATACTTCTGGGGGATCGACGATCCCTTGTGTCTGTGTGTTTTTCCCCCTCCTGAAGCACTCCCTGGGGGCTCGAGGAGAGGCCGCGGAGCGCGCGGGTCGCCGCGCCGAGGGCGGGGCCCAGAAGAATGGGCAGAGGGGTCTTGTCACGTGGGGCGAAGCTGCCTCCCCCCCTCGTCTTCATACGGCAGGTTCGTGTCGTGCCGACCCCAGCGTTGGTTTTTGACACCGCGCTGGATCGTTCAACCTTGAACGATCGGCCCTCACCGCAACGTCCGATCGTTCAACATCGATCGATTCTGGGTCGCAGGCGGCGTTCAACCTTGAACGCCCGCGCTGGGGTCGCCGCTGGTCGACACGACGCAAACCTACCATATCCATGTTCTCCTACTTCTTCATATTCTCCCCATCTTCATCTTCATGTTCTGCTATATTCGGGGAGACGTTAGACCCGGGTACGGGGGACTCGGAAATCCCCGACGAGGTCGTCAAATGAATGACGAGGCCGAGCCTGCATTTTGACGAGGCCTCCCGCTGCAGACATCCCACAAAACTCCTCCTCGTCAAAATCCGAGTCGCGGTCGTCAAAAAACGATGGCGAACCCGAGTCCCGGCAAACCCGGGTCTTACGCTCCCCCGATATATCTGCCTCATCCTCGTCTTCAAATTCCTCTGCCTCATCTTCAGATTCTCCTACTCCGTTCCGGATTCGCATTACGTGACGGGTTCAAGTTGCCGATATAAGGCCCCCCCCGTCATCTTCCTCTGCCTCTCAGGTCGGGCGAAAGGGGGGGATAGCAAAGGGGGGGGGGAGAATCAGCTCGCGTAGCTGATTTTCCCGGCGCCTCTCCCAGCGCCGGAGGCGCCCATGTACCGAGGAGTGGGCCCCTCGGTCGGGCCGAAACTAGCTGCATGCAGCAGATTTCGTAACCCCCCCTTTTTCCCAATCCCCCCCTTTCGTCCGGCCCGAGCCTCATCTTCATATTCTCCTACTCCTCCTCGGATTCGCATTACGTGACGGGTTCAAGTTGCCGATATAAGGCCAGCGCGGCTGGGCCTGGAGCCCTCAGCGACTGTAGTCGAAGTCGGCGTGGGCAGGTTACGGACGGGAGGACGCAAGGGGGCGCGTTCGTGGTCCAGCGTCGATGCGCGAGAAGTTTGGTCGCGCCCTTCTGCCAGTGCACATGGCTCACAGAAGCTGATCCCTTGGAGACACGATCGGGCACGAAATGGTAATCTTGCAAGATGTGCTGACCGCGGCACAGCGGGATGGACGCCCCTGGCAGCCCGCGACGGCGCCTCATTCGCAAGCGATCCCGCTCGCTGGCGGCAGCTGACAAGCATGGGCGGCCAGGATAACGGCACAGAGGCACGAAATGCCCGCGCAAAGTTGCCTGCGGGAAGTGGCCCGCACGAAATTGCGCGCGCGAAATGGCCCCAGAGCTGCCGCCCAAAAATGCCACACGAAAAGGTACCCAAATCGATGCGCCGGACTCGTTTGCCCCCCAAACCAGAAACCGCTTGAGACATTCGTATGACAATTTCGTGCGAGCAATTTCGCGCGCCATTTCGTGTCGCATTTCGTGCCAGAGTTCGTGTAGCAATTCGTGTTTCAATTTGTGTTCGTGCGGTACGAACTCCGTGTTCGCACGGATATATTTTCGCCTCCCGCACAGTCAAAATAATCCCCTTTTGGTTCACATTTTCTTTGTTTGGCAAAGATTTCGTGCACGCCCCCCTTTTCGCTCGCGACCGTGACACGACGTGCTACGGTCGGGATCTTTTGCGTCGCGTGTCGCCGCGCCGACCCCAGCGACACGCTGGACGCTGACGCTCGAGGACTGGGACGTGGCCAGCGCGTCGCGACGAAGCGCAGTGGGCCAGAACCGGCGGCACGACACGCTAACAAAAACGAGACCGTGGGGGTGGGGCCAGCTCACGTCGGGCTGGGCGAAAGGGGGGGATAGCAAAGGGGGGGGGGGGGAGAATCAGCTCACGTAGCTGATGTTCCCGGCGACTCTCCCAGCGCCGGAGGCGGCCATGTATCGAGGAATGGGCCCCTCGGTGGGGCCAGCCACATGCAGCAAATTTCGTAACCCCCCCTTTCCCTTCGGGGATCTTCTGACCCGGGTCAATCCAGACCCGGGTCAGCAAGAAACCAAAAACTGCAATGCAGGAAAAAAGAAAAAACTGCAACGCACGTCTTCGCAAACCCGGGTCAGCCAAATGCGCGGCCGCCTCGCGGCCACGAGCGGCTCGTTCACCCGGGTCAGCCAGAGGGGGTCCTCGCAGGATCCTGCAGGATCTGGTGCCCTGGCTGACCACCGTTTGCATTGACCCCCGTCTCAAGGCTCCCGATCCCTATCCTGATGTCGGGCGTGTCCCCCTACAGGGGGATTTTCGACGAAAAATAAAAGATACCCAAGAGATACCCCCCAAAGGTCAAAAAACACTCAAAAAATAGTCCCCAGACTATTTGTTGATTATTTTTTATTATGTTTGGGGTATCTTTTATTTTTCGTCGAAAATCCCCCTGTAGGGGGACAGGCCCGACTTAACCCTATCCCCCCCCTTTCGTCCGGCCCCATCATGGGGGGGGGGAGCATGTCGAGCTCGGCGCGAGGCATCGCCGAGCTAACCTGGCAGAGTCGGCTCGCCATCGCTCGGACGTCCATTCCCTGTGTTTTTTTGGTTTCGTGCGTGTTTTTTTCGCCAATTGATCAAGGATTAGGGTGCCACATGCGAACCCTACCCCTACCCCCCACGATTTCTGAGGGGGAGGGTGGGGTTCACTTCGTTCGGGAGCTCCCAAGCGAAGTGAACCCCACCCTCCCCCTCAGAAATCGTGTGGGGTAGGGGTAGGGTTCACATGTGGCCCCCTAAGGATGCTCCTCGATGGTCCTCGCCGAAGGAAAAATGCACACGTCCGAGCGATGCCAAGTAGGCTCACGTGCCAGCGAAGCCGCACGCTCTCCTGGGCGGGGCGGGGACCGCCGGGCGCCCCCATCTCGGCGACGCGTGGGCGATCGGGGACGGGTGCGCCCCGCCTGAAGGGGCCCCAGGACACACACACAAATAATCACACACAAATCAACAGATATTCCACACATTTTCCGAGATCTTCGGGGTGTCTGCCTTCCCCCCCGACGTCCAATATTTTCCCACACTTTCGGGGGAATCGAGGATTCATTGTGTCTGTGTGTTTCTTTTCCTCCTGACCACCCCCGAGCAGGTGCCCAGGAGAGCCCAGGAATCGAATCGACAAGTCGGATCGGCGATCGACACGAATCGGATCGGCGGAAATCGGCAGCCGCGTCGGGAGAAGTCGAATCGGCAGAGATCGGCAGGCCACTGGGCCTCCACTGAAGAGTCGGCATCCGAATCGGAACCCGAGGTCGAATCGAGTCGGAATCGGCAACCGTCGAAACCGCATCGGTTCGAGTCGGAGGAGTCGAGACGGCCCCTGACATCATTCCCCCCTCACGTCGTCCCCGGTGTGCACGCCGCGGTGCACACGGCGTGCCGCACACCAGAAGCAAGGGGGCCCTCTGTGGGCCCCGGAAACGGCAGGGCCGTTTTTTCACCGCTTCCAAAAAAATGCCCCTTGACAGTGGAAACGGCAACAAAACGGCGACAGGAAACGGCAAAAAAACGGCTCCAGGATTGGAGCCGGAGCCGGAACCGGTCAAACAACGGCGACGGAACCGGTAAAACAACGGCGTCGGAACCGGCAAAAAAACGGCAAAACGGAACCGGTAACGAAAACGGCCCTGTCGTTTACAGGGCCCACTAAGGCCTGGGGGTGCCGCAGCAGGGTCGGCCTTGTGAGGAGGCAGGCAGCATCTCAGAAGACCTCGCCCGCCCTCTGAGCAGCCCCCTTCTAGAAGAAGAAACAGCGGCACACGCATAAACTTTCGGTCGGATGTTCCCGCGGATTTCTTGGACCGGCGCGCGCCACGGGCGTCGCCAGAGGCGCCCCCACGGGGGGTCCAGCGCCCCCACGGGGGGGTACCAGGGCCCACTAACGGGGGTCCTGGGCGGGGGCGGGGGCGGGGTCGAGGGAACCCCGGGGGGCGGGGCCGTCCTGCTGGGTGGGCGGGGGCAGGAGCACGTCGCGCCCATCGCTGGTGATCCTCCTCGCCAGGAGGAAGAGGAGGAGGGGGGGGAGGAGGAGGAGGAGGAGGAGGAGGAGGAGGAGGAGGAGGAGGAGGAGGAGGAGGAGGAGGAGGAGGAGGAGGAGGAGGAGGAGGAGGAGGAGGCGGAGGAGGAGAGGAGGAGGAGGAGGAGGAGGAGGAGGAGGAGGAGGAGGAGGAGGAGGAGGAGGAGGAGGAGGGGGAGGAGGCGGAGGAGGCGGAGGAGGAGGCAGGAGGAGGAGGAGGAGAGGAGGAGGCGGAGGAGGCGGAGGGAGGAGGAGGAGGGGAGGAGGAGGAGGAGGGGAGGAGGAGGAGGAGGAGGAGGAGGAGGAGGAGGAGGAGGAGGAGGCGGAGGAGGCGGAGGAGGAGGAGGCGGAGGAGGCGGAGGAGGAGGAGGAGGAGAAGGAGGAGGAGCAGGGGGAGGAGGAGGAGAAGGACGAGGAGGAGGAGGAGGAGGCAAAACAGACATTTGCGCCGACGACCGCGGATCGCACTTCCTGATGCTTGTCCTCACCGCAGCGCAGTGACGGGGCCAACCCGTGAAAGGGCGAAGAGAAGAGACAACTCGCCGGACAAACCAAGACGGCAACACGCACCGGCATGCAGCGTGCTTGCTCCGTGACCCTCGATCGAAGATCGAACGTCGAGGGCCCATGGCTTCGGAACGTTCCTAGATCGTTTTTTATTATATTGAGTTTGACCTCCCCCACGTGTTTGTACTTGCACGGGTGTGCTCGCACCCGACCTTTCGCCATCTCGCTGTGAGACGGCACCCAAAAAGGACAAGCCGCTAGCCCAGCGGCCTCGCGAGCGGTCCTGGCGGTCCCCGCCAGGGGTGGCAGGCGCCCCTCCAGGAGCAGCAACTGCTCTCTGTACACGGGAGGAGGAAGAGGAAGGGGCGAAGAAAACAGCCGCCTGTTTACTCCAGGCAGAAGCCACTGCACGATGGCGGCGACTCGTACCTCTGAGGCGAGCTTCAAAGTGTTGCTGGTATGTGCCTGGGATGCCCAGACGACGACAGTTCTGAAGAGTAACAAACGCATCAACACAAGCGGCATATAATATATTGGAAAACGTTGGTGATGGTGAAAGCAGGAGGAAGGGGAGGAGCCAGGGCGAACCCTCAGGAAACCAAGACGAGGAGATAAATAGGGTCCAGGCCAATATCTGAACAGAGAAGCCAGCCGAGGACAACATACATAGTGTTCAACGCTATCAAGATCACCCGCACCAAGTGCTGGGCATCCCAGGGCACAACCTGCAGGGCTGGATTTATATCGCTCGGTGGTGCAGAGACCGCGGCACAAGATACGCATGGTTCCCACGAGCATATACGGCTGAGTTTTCAGGAGCACATAGTACGAGTTAATCCAGAACCGATCCATGCTGCGCTGTGAGATCTCTGGGAGCCATGCTGCAACTCGACGAAAGAGTGTCTGACGAGGGTCCTCTTTGGCAGGGGAACTCTCGACCATCAGCTCATGAGGGCGAGCTTGAAGGCGCGGCAGATCTACATTCACTCGTGATGGGATAGCGTAGTACCATTCATGCAGACTGTGCATATAATAAAGGGAACTCGACTTCCAGTGACCTCCCCTCGTCCTGACAAAGACTTGCTCTTGATAGTCCTCAGGAGACCGAAGATGCTCAAAGACAGCACCTATCCCATCATTCCTAATCATATCTACATATATATATATATGTATATATGTATCGGGTACAAGTCGCTCTGGCAAGGCACAGCAGGTCTTGAAACTCGACGGGCAGATGAAGCTTGCACAACTGCGGGCAGAAAGAGTAGGAGAACGAGTTACGAGGCCCAGCCGCGAGGAACATCACCGCTTCTCGATAATAACTCAAAAGAGCAGGAGACACAGGATGGACTTGGAGGATGAAAGAGAGCACCGAGACGCACATCACTCTGAAGACAAATGCTGCTCTCGCAAGTCCCGGCCAAGCTGACGGGCGATGCCGACACGGAGCCTGAACTCCGGGAGGGCCTCAGACCACGCGCGACGGTGAGCCTGCAGGCCTACGAAGGCCCCGAGATATTTCACGCTGTCGACAACCTGAAGCAGCCTGTAGTCCCCCTTCAGAACAGCAATCGAGTCGCGCATCAGACATAAGTCGAGGTTACCTACGATGAGCACCAGGCATTTCTTGAAGTTCAAGGCGAGTCCAGCAATCGGCTCCAGAAGCTGAAGGGCGCGAAGAACAGGACCCAGGGACGATAATACATTCAGAAGCCCAAAGCAAAAATCATCAGCATAAGCAAGCGTACGATCGATATGACTGCTGCACTTCGCCTTGACACACCTGAGTAGCGGATCCACCGCGAGCACGAAAAGGAGCATGCTGGACGGACATCCTTGCTTTACCCCAGATCCCATGACTATCTTCCCGAACCTCCTTCCCCCCAGCACCGTAGTGGCAGTCTGCTCCTGATAAAGCAGCATGAAAAATGAGACGACGGCAGAGCTGATCCCCATCTCACTCAGCACGTGCAACAGCCAAGGGATCGCCAGTGACGGAAACGCTGCACAGAAATCGGTGAGCAATATACACGCTTTCTCGTTCGCCAAGACATGTTGTTCCAGAGACCGGGCCTCTGCTTCGACAATGTTAGTGATCATATCACGATGCTTTGTGCACTTCTGGTCGGTGGAAACAATCGTCGAGGTATGTTCAGCCAAAAGAATAGACATAGCCCCAGCGAGAATATTGATGTCCGTGTTAGACATACTTAGCGGACGAGTTTCTTCGGGACCTCTGGAGACTTCTGGACCGCTGTCACGAACATCAGAACCTTTTGAAAGGACAACCATGAGGCTGCGACGCATGTCGGGCGGCAGAGACTCAATATTCCCATTGAAGAAGCAGAGGTAGATATCATGAAGGGCGCGCGCGGCGACCGGCGCCGACCAAGCTCCATGCGGAATGACGTCTGGTCCAGGCACGCTGCGGCACCGAGTCCGCAGATACTCAACAAACTGCGCATAGGTGAGCTGCCAAGCTTCGGAGGGCAGCTCTGGAACCTTCTGGATGTGCGCAGACGCCTCAGACCACAGGGACCTGTCTAAAGCTTTCGGAAAGAAAACCTCGGACCAGTTATCCTAGAGAACCTGGGCAGAGTCGTCCAGGGAGGGGCGCGAGATACCATCAGCATCGTACACACACGTAACATGCGTACGACTTCGAAAGCGCCTCCAAAGCTCCTGATACCTCTGAACCCTGGCCCGGTTGTTTTTCTTCGTCTGAGGGTCCGCCTCAGAGTTTTCAATTTCCATATTCTCCTGGTCATGCAGCTGCATCTGGATACATCTGATGCGAGCACGCAGGCCAGCGACGTTCGTGCACCTAAAGCTCGCCATGCCGAAATGCATGCCAAGGGTAGGATAGGCCTTAAGCGCTTCCACAATCATCCGCCCCGTCCCAAACCTGCATCCTCTCAGCGCGTGCATGGCCCAGTGATGCTTCAGCTCTAACGTCGTTGCTGGGATCGTCCCGATATACTCTCGAACGCGCTTCATAGTGGCACACATGTACGATTTAATCGTACTAAGACGCTCCCAGACAGATAAATACGGGCAATCGTCATCTAGTTCGGCAATGAGTTACTCTAGGTGGTTGGCAGATTCAGGGCGCTTACAGATATGCCTGGGGATCGTGGGGAACTCAGCAGACGGGCAGACGGGGGAGAACATAGCAACGATCGGGACGTGGTCGCTCGGCGACTTAGGCATGAGCTTGCCAAACGCCCCACTGCGGATATCATGAACTCTCAGGATGGCCTGCGGCAGGGACGTATACATTCTGTCAAACCTAGAAGTGTGGACGAGGCTGCCGTCTCGAAGCTCCCTCCGCGTGTCGCACTCCTGATATACTTCAGTAATCGTTGGAAACAAGTTGTGGCAGAGGCGCGAATGAGGGCGGTCACCGAATGACCATCCACTGCCGTCGCCCTTCACCCCCCTCCTCCTCGAATGCAAAGCTGAAGCCGCCTACGAGAATACGATGCGATTCATGCGCGGCGTCGTAGGCAGAGCGGATCGCCCTCAACACAGTCGAGGACACCGCAAGCGTGCCACTCGCGTTGGGGAGGTGGACATTGAAAATCGCGAGGTTACCTGCAAGGCCCGAACAAGTATTCTGAAGAACCCGTCCCGTAACCAAACCATGACGATGAACAGAGGTGAATAGCTTCCTGATCTGAGGACCCAAGACAGTGACCGCCCCGCCTTCGCCTTGAGAGTCCTCAAACATAGAAAAACCAATGTCGCGCCCAGGACGGGGCCCATCCAGCTCCCGGAGGAGCTCTCCAATATCACCAACATGACCGTGAGTTCCCTGCCCGCGGACAGTCTGAAACTTCCGAGCGAGACAGAAGAAAGTCTGATACCTAGCACCAGCGCGCCAGGAGGCCTGGCGGACACTGCAAAAGAGACCGCGAGTGTTCCAGCTGCAGAGCGACAAGGGCTCACGCGGGGTGAAGGGGAGATAATTGGAGGGGGGAAGAGAGGAACTAGCATACCCATGTCGTTCCCTGCGCAGCAAGAGCACGAGGGGGCAAACAGGAGTCGCCCCGTGGCGGCCGAAGGCCGCTCAAGCGGAAGACAGCCTGCTTCAGCGCCTAAAGGGCTGCCGAAGCTGGACGGCGGCGGCCTCGCGGAAGGCCTCGGCGTGCTGGTGGGCCCCGAACTCCCTGAGGACATCGAGCTCGAGCTCCATCTCAATCTTGTTCCCGTCGTCCACCGTGCGCAGCTGCGCAGGCGAAGCTGGGTCGTCCTTCTTCCTTAAGGTGTACATGCAGCCGCCAAACCCGTCGCTGAACACGTCATATCCACGGGGTTTGAGCAAGTCCGTCATCGCAGCCCTGACCTTGCCCATAGACAGAAATAATTGGCGACGTTTGGAGTCCACATCTCGGCGAACACGAAGAACCAGTGGCGAGCTAGAACGTGGGTCAGGATGCTGAAACTCACCGACAGTCTCAAACTGGGCGATGAAATCACTCGCTGCCGACGGCGTCTCGAAGTGCGAGGCAACTTTGCGGGCGAGGTCGAAGGCCTTAATCGTAATCGATGAGTGGCGGTCCGTCGGTGCGAACCTCTGGCGAACAGCTTTGCCAACTGCACGTAAGGTAGTGGCAAGCACCCGTCGGGGAAATCCTAGGATGAGCGGCTTCGTGGTGTTGTCCTGGCTCCATTCCGTGGCAGCGGCGCGCTCGCTGATGTTCGAGTGAACCTCCGAAGGCGGCCGAGATAGTTTGCCGAGCTTCTCCTCAATGTATTTGATCTTCTCTTGAACAGATGATGGGATCGACGGCGACGTGTCCGTACTGTCATTCGAGGTCGGCGCCAGTGTGCTCAATCGCTCACAAGTCGAAGCCTCGAGGCCGTCCATCCGTTCTTTCAGGGCCGTGAAAGCGGCCGCATGTTCTGCCTCAATCTGCACCATGCGCGAGTGAATGTCGTTGCCCATCGTGTGCATCGAGGCTGTGAGCTGGTCGCACCGGAGCTGCGCCAAGTCCATCTGGCTCTTAACATTGGAAAGGTCATTCGCTGATGTCGATACTTGACGGGAAAGACCCTGCAGCGAAGACATGATCATATCAAGCTTGTCGTTCTGGCTTGTCTGAGCAGGACGGCGCCTCTCACGCTCAGAGCGACTCTTCGATCGTGATGAGCAGAAGGAAGAGCTGCGGGCATCGGGCGTGCGCGACACTCGCGGGCTGCGCTGGCGCTCTCCATGCTCTGGCATCTGGGCGGCTGTGTTCTGGGAGGAAGGGAAATGGGACGGAGACGTGCAGAGAGTAAATCCGCTCCTGGAAGGCACCTCGAGCCTCCCCCTCGGCAGCGACCAAGGTCCAAACCCCAGGGAAAGGGTTTGAGCCTTGAGCCAAAATGGCTACGGAGGAACGTTCCTAGCTCGTTTGGGGACCTTCGGGAGTCCCCGGGAGGCTCTCGTCGTCGTCGTTGTCGTCGCCGTCCTTTCCCCTTCTTCTTGTCTACCTCCCTCCCTCCCTCCCTCCCTCCCTCCCTCCCAGAGGAGGAGGATCCCTCCCTCCCTCTTTGCTCCTCCCGTTCTGTGCTCAAGATCCCACGTATCGCCAACAACCCAGTGACAACATCGCAGAGCTAACTCAGCGCTGGCTGCGAAGTGACAGCAGCAACATGTCGACTTCGCCGCGTCACTACGCTGCTCTACGCTGGGGGGAGGGGGCAAATATAGGACCCTCCATCTTCGATCGATACCCTCCAAGATGTCCCCAAGAGGCCACCAAGACTACCCCGAGAGGCCCCGCATCTCTGATCAGCGCAACTCCCTGATCGCGCTACGATTGACACGCAGCGAGAGGCGGGGAAGGGAAGCAAGAAGAGTCGGAGAAGGACAACCAGGACGATCAGGAAAGGCAGACAACGTGATGCCAACAGAGCACTGTGTTGACACTGCGCTGTTGACACTACGTTGTTTGAAACCACGCTACTGTCAGTGCGAGGTGTAGTTAACACTACGCTGCCCACTGCTGACTTGGAGCTGTGCTTGAGTTGATCGCTGTACTTGCGCTCGGCCATGTTCATCTCTTCCCGCTAGCATGCAAACGATCTCTGAGCGGTGTGTGTGCATGACGATCTCTGAGCGAGGGTGATACAGGTACAGCGGCGTGAGAAATGGAGGACACGTCTAAACTAGCAAAGGACGGATCAAACAACCATTCACACTTCAGAAGGCGTTGGGTCAACTGACGTTCCTCAGACACTACGTCGGGCACATTCTAATACCACCTCCCTTAGCCTCCTCCTCCTCCGCCTCCTCCTCCCTCGTCTCCATCCTCCATCGTCACTCCTCCCTCACATCTCTTCCGCCTGCTCGGACGCGGAGCAGGAGGAGACAGGAGGAGAAGGACGAAGAAGGGAACGAACAGGAAGATGAGGAGACAAGAGGAGGAGGAACAAAAGAACGAGGGGAAGGAGAGGACACAGCAGCGGGCGGCGGCGAAGTGAAGGAATGAACAGAAGAGATGAAGAGGAGCAGGAGCAGGAGGAGGAGGAGTGAGGGATGAACGAGATCAGGAACGACGGACGAGGACGAGGAACGGCGAACGAGACCGGATGAGGAGGAGGGGGGGAGGAGGAGAACATCGTGATGAAGGGGGAACGAAAGAAATGGAGGAGGAGGAGGAGGAGGAGGAGGAGGAGGAGGAGTAAAGGTGAACATAATAGCAGGAGGAAGAGGAGGAGGAAGAAAAAAGAGGAGTGGGGCACAAAGCGGAAGGCGGAGAGACACAGGCTCCTGTTGCCCCGCTCGCCGAGCAGCATGAGCACAAGGCAGCACCCGAGCGCGTACCAGTCCCTCGCCTCCAGGCGCCTCTTCCTCTCGTCGGTGCTCTCGTCCTCCTCCTCCAACTGTGGGGCGCGGCCAGACTTCGGGCGCACTCCGACACGGATTTCGAATCGGTGGATCTGGCGCGTGGGCGCCAGATCCACGGATCGGGGAAGGTGCCCACCGAAACAGGAGGCCAGTGCCGCATGGCTTGGCCATGGAGCGCGCCGCCTCGGTGTGGAAGCGAGAGGCCCGTCGCCCATGCGCGCGCCCCCCTCCGTGGTTGCACTTCCTCGAAGACCGCGCCCCGATCTGGCGCCGGTCCCCATCGCCTCCACCCCCCAAGTAGGGAACCGAACTCTATACACCGACGCCTTTTCCGGCCCTGCACCGAAATTTGCAGAGGAAGGCGGATCCTGGTGCACCCATGGCCCTGGTGTATGTACCTATTTCGTTGCGTCCCAGGGAAAGCGGGGACAGAAAGGATGCACCACACCACCCCGACGTCGTCCCCGACCCTCAAAGAATCTTGGGATTATGTCGGGCGTGTCCCCCTACAGGGGGATTTTCGACGAAAAATTAAAAAATACCCCAAACATATTCCAAAAAGGTCAAAAAATACTCAAAACATGGTCCCCTGACTATTTTTGGACTATTTTTAAACTATTTTTTAGGGGTATTGTTTATTTGTCATCGAAAATGCCCCTGTAGGGGGACAGGCCCGACTTAATCCTGGGATTGAGAAACAGCCCGCCACTGGCAGTGTCTGTGCTCCAGTCTCCGACCAAGGTCGGGTGTGGGTCTAGTAGGTGCCCCTGGCCCCAGGTGCCCCCGCGGATTCTCTCTGAGGCCCACGCAGCCGCCAGCGCATCCCTCGCAGGGCTCAAGAGGGCCGGCTCCAGAGTGGCGCGGGAAGCTGGGGGGCCCCTGGGGCCCAGGGGCACCTTCTGGCGCCCCCCCCCGACTCCAGGGAGAGGAGGGTGGGGCCTCCGGGGCATCCCTCGCAGGGCTCAAGAGGGCCCCAGGGGCTCCAGAGTGGAGCGGGAAGCTGGGGGCCCCTGGGGCCAAGAGGCATCTTCATTGAGCAGGGACCCACCGTCCCGGCATTCCTATAGTCCTACCACGAAATGTTCTTTGAACCCAAAAATGTTCTAAGAACAAAAACCAATGTTCTTAGAACCTAAGCCCGATGCGTTAACACAAGACAGCCCCCGCCAGACATGTTCTAGGAACATTTCGTGGGAACCACAAAAAGGTTCTGAGAACACTGTTTGGTAGGGCTGTATAGGCGAGCCCGGGACGCTTCGCCACTGCTTGAACCTTCGGGCAAACCCCCCCGACTCCAGAAAGAGGAGGGTCGATGGCCCGGCTGCCTGGACGCCCGGCGTCGAGGGGGCCAAGCCACGAGGGGAAAATGAGTCCCAGGGGAGTGGAGGTGATGAGAGAAGCGGGGGAGCATGCAGAAGAACAAAGGGCGGGGTAAGCCGCCATATACCCCAAGAGGGGGAGGATGTAGGAGGAGTCGTTGTCGTCGGAGTAGGAGGAGGAAGAGGAGGAGCAGGAGGAGGAGCAGGAGGGGTGCGATGGAAAACGGGGGCGGCGGCGCGCGGGATGGCGAGGGCGCACGGGAGGCGGCCGTCTGGCCGGCCTGGGCTCCTCGGAGGGCACGGGGGGGGGGGGGCACCTCCGGGGCCCCACGCCAAGCTTCCGAGAGGAAGGCCCAAGTCGGGCCTGTCCCCCTACAGGAGGGACTTTGGGGCGAAAAAAAATCGATTAGTCAAAACAAATGCCCCAAAAAGGCCGAACATTGTCAAACAAATCGTCCCCAGACTATGTTGTAACCAGGGATCTTCGAAAACAGTTACAACATAATCTGGGGACGATTTGTTTGACAATGTTTGGCCATTTGGGGGGCATTTGTTTTGACTATTCGTTTTTTTCGCCCAAAATCCTCTTGTAGAGGAGCAGGCCCGACTGAAAGGAAGGCCTGGCGTGCAGCCTCGGGCCTCCCTCTGAGAAGGCTCTCCCTGCCCTCTGGGCAGCCCCCTCCCGCCTCCTTGCAGGGCCGCCCCCTGGGGGGGGGGAGGAGGAGGAGGAGGAGGAGGAGGAGGAGGAGGAGGAGGAGGAGGAGGCGGAGGCGGAGGCAGGAGGAGGAGTAGGAGGGAGGAGGAGGAGGAGGAGGCGGAGGAGTGGGAGGAGGAGGAGGAGGCGGAGGAGGAGGAGGAGGAGGGGAGGAGGAGCGGCGGAGGAGGGGGGAGGAGGGAGAGGAGGAGGACGAAGAGAAGGAGGCGGAGGGCGGAGAGGAGGGAGGGGAGAGGGGGAGGGGGAGGGGGAGGAGGGGAGGAGGAGGAGGAGGAGGAGGAGGGTCCTGGAGGAGGAGGAGGAGGAGGAGGAGGCGGCGGAGGAGGAGGGGAGGAGGCGGCGGCGGCGGCGGCGGCGGCTGCGGAGGCGGGAGGAGGAGGGAGGGCGGAGGAGTAGGAGGAGGGAGAGGAGGGGAGAAGGAGTAAGGAGACGGCCGGCGGAGGAGGAGGGAGGGGGGAGGCGGGAGGGGGAGGAGAGGAGGCGGCGGAGGAGGAGGAGGAGGAGAGGAGGCGGCGGCGGGGTAGGAGGAGGAGGAGGAGGGGAGGAGGAGAAGGAGGAGGAGGAGGAGGAGGAGAGGTAGGAGGAGGAGGAGGAGGAAGAGGAGGAGGAGGAGGAGGAGGAGGAGGAGGAGGAGGAGGAGGAGCGACGAGGTGCCCGCACGGGCCACTCCCTGGGCCTCTCCCCGGGTGCGCTCCGACCAGAAGGTTCGAGGAGACTGCAGCCGTGGTGGCGGGGGAAGCAGGGGAACCGAACTCTGTACTTTGTTGGTTTGCGGGGCGAGAGCGAACCTCTTCCGCTAAAAGCTAGGCGGGCTACGCGCAGCTTTAAGCAGGGAGACAGGGCGCAGGAAGGCGGGGCCTCAGGCGGCCGGAGCAGGTGGAGCCCGGGGAACCGAACTCTGTACACGGACGCCTTTTTCGGGCCCTGCACCGAGATGAGATCTGCAGAGGGATGCGGATCCTGGTGTAGATTGTCTACGGGACCCTGGTGTGTACGTGCTTCGCTGCTTCCCTGGGAAAGCGGCGACAAAAAGGATGCACTACACCACCCCGACGTCGTCCCCGACCCTCGAAAAGTCCTGGGATTGAAAAACAGCCCACCATTGGTAAGGTACATGTCCCAGTTTCCGAGGAAGGGTAGCGGTATCGGTACCGGTTCCTCCTCTAAGCCCCCCTCGCGACACCCCACGCGGGCGTCGCCGACAAAACTGCAGCCTCATCGTGCCTGCGTCTTCAGGGCAAGGCCGAGCCGAGGGGTGGTCACGGTGGTCACCACCAGGGGGGCCGCCGCTTCCTCGAGAGAGAGCGCCATGCCTTCGAGGAGGTGGCCCCAGAGAGACGACCCCAGACGTCCCCCCAAACAATCTCCCCGAGCAGCTCCAGGAGGATTCTGGCACGCCTGGGGTCGTTTTTCGAAGCTCGACCTCCAGGATCGAAGCTCGATTCGACCTCCGATCCTGGAGAGCCTCGACCTCGAGGAGGAGCTGGCGGCCCCCCTTGGTGGTGACCCCCCGCGGCGCACTGCCCGACCACCGTCCTCGCGCCCGAGGTCTCTCGAGAGCCGCTCCGATGCCGGGGGGCCACGGGGGGGGCCCGGCGGGGAGGCAGCCGTCCGCGCGAGCCTCTGGAAGTAAGTCGGGCGTGTCCCCCGACAGGGGGATTTTCGACGACAAATGTAAAAATACACCAGAATACCCCAAAAGGGGTCAGCAAATACCCCAAAAATAGTCCCCCGACTATTTTTGGGCGTTGCATTGGCCCCCGGTGCAAGGCTCCCGATCCCTCTCCTTCTGTCGGGCGTGTCCCCCCACAAGGGGATTTTCGACGAAACATAAAAATACCCCAAAAATACCCCGAAAAGGTAACAAAAACAACAAAAAAAAAAAAAAAAAAAGTCCCCAGACTACTTTTGGACTATTTGTTGACTATTTTGGGGGATTTTTTATTTTTCGCCGAAAATCCCCCTGTAGGGGGACAGGCCCGACTGAACTCTGGAAGGCGGTGTGCTTCTGCCGGGTGCTCTGGCCCCTTGCACTGCACCGACCTTGCCGGCGGTCGGCGGCGCGTGTGTGCGTGGATCTCGGTCGGAGCGGAGCCCCGAAGCGGCGAGCGAAAAACGACGTGGATGTCACGTGGATGTTTGGGAATCTTCATTCCTGGCCTGAGAAAAAGCGAACAACGACGTGAATGTCACGCGGATGTTTTGTAATGGGATCTTCATTCCTGGCCAGAGAAAAACCGCAATCAGTGGATGGTTTGAAAATCAGTGATGTGGATATTTAGATCGATTGTGAGAGATCGACAGTGGGATCGAACTTTGGATCGACCGTGAGGACGATAGTAAGGTCGATCGTGAGACCAATAGTGAAGTCGATGGATTGAAATCGATCGGGAGATATATCGTGAGATCGCTTGTGCGATCTATAGCGAGATCGATTGTGGGATGGGTAGTGAGATCGATTGTGCGATCGATTGTGAGATCGACAAAGAGGTGGGTAATGAGATCGATGGTGAGACCGATCGATTAAGAGATCGACGAAGAAACCGGAACCCGGAAACCTAGGAACCCACTCGCCCACCGAAATCGGCCCGGAAGCAGCAAACGGTCACCTGGGAACCCGGAACCGGGATCCCAGGAATCCGGGAACCCGGACGCCTACCGAAATCGGCCCGGAACTTTCGCTAAATCTTTCAATCTCCGCTAGAACCCCTTCAGTGCAAGCACTGATTGGGGAAAAATCCGCACGGAATTCACTTCGAAATGCGGAACGAGATTCTCCAGGATAATCTGGGCCCATCCCAGTGTTTTCCGAACGAAATCGATGTTGGCGCCCTGACTCCTTGGCTCATGGCGCCCAGGACCGATCCCAGAGGTCCGCGCGGACCCGCGAAGGTATAGTGTAAGTTATGCCCATTCGAGGAGCAGAGAACGGCGCAAGCATAAACTTTCTGAGGGCCTGCTCGTATTTCTTGGAACGGCGCTGGACCCCCTGCGGGGGCGC